TGCTCTGAGGGACATCTATCCGAAGTTGGAACGGTACTGCCAGGCAGACTGGTCTTTCCCCCAGCAACACCGACGCAAGTGTCGGGGGGCCCACGTTGTTTTCTGCAAGGCCAGGGAGAACGCATCCAAGGAGCATTGGCGAAGCAGCGCCTCAGAGTTGTTGTGCATTTACCCGCTGGTGCGGCATGTTGCTTGCATTGTTATCTTGCCGAATTTCGATGAGCTGCGCGACGAAGTTGCCTCCCTCTGCCATTGTTTCGCTGTAATTGACAAAATTCAACGGGCGAAGGCGGGCGACGTCGATGCCTCGGCCCTCGGAGCTGCAGTTGATCGCCACGCGGACGCACATGAAAAAGCATACGGGGCCGACAATTGGAAACCAAAGTTTCATTTGGCGACGCACATTCCCGAGCAAGTGGAGAAATTCGACGTTGTGTTGGATTGCTTCGTTGTTGAGAGGTCGCACCTTCTGCCGAACATGATTCTGGACAACCAAGATATACTGAAAGGCTTCGAGAAAGCTGCAATTTCTCGCGTGCTGTTGGCGCGCCTGCAGGAGCTCGAAAGTTTCGACGAGCGCCCAGGGCTCAGGGGGGCGATGCGGAGTTGTCGCCCCTGCTGGCTGAAGCAGTCGGCGGCGACGTCGTCCTTTCATCCAGCGCTGCTTTCAAAGGCTTGCTTGTTTGGGCAGGCGACGTGGTGCGCATGCAGAACAATTTTCTATGCGTCGCAGCTCTGGGCCAACGGGGGGACGATCTATTCAATCTTGGGCACGAGTGCGTCGTGATCGAGAAGCGGACGCCGAACGCGTCAGTCCTGCGGAAGGACGGCGAATTGCTTCTTGCGTGTTGGAGCGGCGAATCGGTTGAGATGTGCCACGCTTGGTCGGAGCTCGCCTCTGGCGACATTCTTGCTTTGCACTGAGCGGAAAACAACATCTGCCAGGACAGCGATTGAATCGCTCATCAAAAAAACATTAGCGATTGAATCGCTCATCCACCTCCACTCCGCATCTTTCTTCGGTCTGCGATCCTGCAGCGATTGAATCGCTCATCCTCCTCGCAATCCGCCTCTTTCTTCGGTCTGCGATCCGAAGCCTCAGCAGCCACGCGGCGTCGGGGGGATGGGGGTACGCGGGGGAGGAGGGGGGAGAGGGGAATGATAATGTGCGATATGTACAATTCGAGGGTTGCAAAGGAGCCCAAATTTAACTTATTTCAGACAGTTGCAAGTAGTTTACAAGTTATGTGTAACTTTGATAAGTTCTTTGGCCTGCAACTTACAACTCGCAGTTACGATAGTCACATCCCTGGGTAACTTGGGCAGCTGCAATTACAAGTGGTAAACAATGCAACCATCTATGCTAACATCAAGTTGGGTAGTTGCATGTTAGTTCTTCAGATGACCTTAGCTATGTATCAACTTACACCATGCTGTAACCAAAGCTGGCCAGCTTCAAGTTTTCTAACCCAAAGTCGCTACGCCAGTGCCGCGCCGCGGCCTGCCGCGCCGGCGGGCGTCGGCGCTGCGCCGCTGGCCGTCGCCGCCGCGTCGGCCCCTCCCGCGCCGCCGGCAATTCCTCCTGCTACTCCGCCCGCCGCCGCCGTCGCGCCCGGGCCGCGCGGGGCCCCCGCCTGCCCGCCGGGCACCGCAGCCCCCCGCTGCCGCGCGGCTCGCGGAGCGCTGGCGGAGGCAGGCGGAGCTCTCCTCTTCCTGGTCTCCTTTGCCCCAATCGCACTCGTGTGCGCCTGCGAGGAAACGCCGCGCAGCTTCATCAGGCGGTTGTGGAATGGCAGGTGGAGGTCGCGGCGGTCGGTCGGCGGCAGCTTCAAGTGGATCCGCGGGGCGCCCGGCTGGTCCTCCGCGCTCGAGCCGTCGTCGTACGTGCCAATGTGATACTGGCTGAGGCCCGCCTGCATGACCGCCTTCCAATGGTGCTGCCGGAGGGCGACTGTTCTCCCGCGGACGCCTGGCTCCTGGCTCGGCAGGGTCTTCCGGATGGAGCCACACACATCCGAACAGAAGACAATGGGTTCTCCTCGCAAAATTGTTCTCTTCATAATCTCCCTGTCGGTGAGGAACACGTCGCCGTGCTCCTGCATCTGCACCGAGGCGCCGTCCTGAGGGAAGCCGATCAACGACGCGCAGTTCCCATCCCTTTCACACCCCTTCTGAGTCCATGGAAGCTTTTTCAAGCTGGGCGAGGCCCCTCCACCCTGGCTCGAAGCCCCCTTGCCCTTGCCCACGCCGACCCCACCCCGCGCAAGCGCCATCTCTGGTCCTCGCCGTACCCCTCATCCATGGAGGGGACCTCCGGGTCGCCTGGCACCAGGAAATGGGCGTCTGCGTCCGCGCCGCCCCCCTCGGCCGCAGCCGCCGCCGCCGGCGCCCTCGCGGCGTCTCCCGCGCCGTCGTTGGCCACGCTCGCCAGCGGCGGCCCCTCCTCCTCCGCGGCCGACGCGCCGCCGTGGCTGGCTTGATCGCCCAGCCCCTCGAACTCGCGGTCGCCCTCGCCATCGACGCCGCCGCCCGCTGAGCCGCCGCCGACGTCGGAACCTGCCATGCGGAGCCGCAACTTTGATAAGGGGCCTTCCGGATAATGTCTCCCCCCCGTGCCTTCCCCGATTGCCCTCGGCCCCGCGCCTTCCCCGGCTGCCCTTGGCCCGTGGCATGGCGCTGCTCGTGAGAGCGCCCCGCGAATCAAGGGCCCGCGGCCCGCGGTTCCCTTTGGCGCGAATTATCCCAGTGCGACCCGACCTAGGAGTTGGAGCATTGAGGAAAACAACATCTACATCTACACCGACAGCTACATTTACATCTACACCTGCATCTACATCTACATCAACATCATCAGCGAGACTCACAATTACATTTACATTTACACATACATCTACACCTACATCTACATCTACATCTACACCTACACCTACATCCACATCTAAACCTACACCTACATCTCAATGCTATGCTATGATATGCTATGATACGATGCTCTGCTCCGCTAGGTTATTATGCACGATGCTATGATATGATACGATGCGATCTGCAGACATCTCAAGACTATGCTAGACTATGACATGATATGTTCTGCTGCGCTATGATATACTCTGTTATGCTATGCTCTGCTGCGCTATGCTACGATATGCGATGGAAGGATATGATATGATCTGTTATGGCATGATATGTTGTGCTGTGCTGTGCTGCGCAATGCTATGCTATGGTACAATATACTGATATACTGCGCTATTATATGCTATGCTGTGCTATGGCATGATGCGCTATGCCATGCTATGCTTGGCTATGATTGGCTATGCTTGGCTATGCTATGCTATGCTGTGCTAATGCTGCGCTGCGCGATGCTGCGCTAAGCGAAGGTAAGCTGAGCTATGCTAAGCTAAGCTAAGCTGGGCTAGGCTAAGCTAAGGCAAGCTAAACCAAGCCAAGCTGAACTAAGCTAAGCTAAAAGCTAAGATGAAATAAGCTAAGCTAAGCTAGGCTACGCCAAGCTAAGCTAGGCTGGGCAAAGCTAAGCTAAGCTAAGTTAAGCTAAGCTAAAATGAGATAAGCTAAGCTGGGCTACGCTTAGCTCAGCTAAGCTGGGTGAACCCAGGGGGCGCAACTTGGGGAACCGCGGGGCGGATGCCGGGGGAACCGCCCGGAGCGAGCCCCACTGCTCGGCCCTTTCAGCACAGAGAGTAAGAACCCTTCTAGACAGAGCCTAGGTAGGGAACAATTTTGGCTTGATTCCTCGGTCGGCCTGGGAGGGCGCGCCGCGGCTGAGCCTGGGTCAAGGCCCACTGGCCCCACTCGTCGCCGACCGCGCCGACTCGGACTGCGCCGGCAACCCTGCGGCTGGCGGCGTCCCGCGCGGCCCTCTCTCTCTCTCTCTCTCTCTCTCTCTCTCTCTCTCTCTCTCTCTCTCCTCCCCCACCTCCTGGCTCTCGCGCCCTTCCTCAAGGGCGATGCGAACGCTGTGGAAGACCTCGAGCCCCGCAACAAAACTAATGAAAACAACAAACAAACACCTGGGGGGAGCCCGCGCAGCCGACTGCATGCTGGAACCACGGGCCAGGATATCTCCAAGTCCCCCCCCCCCGGGATGGGCCCGCCAATGCCCCAGTTTGCGCGGTGCTGATTCCCAGGGCCCCGAGACCTCTAGGATGTCCCACGCCCGGACGACGTGATGCTCCATCACCTTGGCCTCTCCACCCATCGGCGCCTCGCCAACCGCGATCTCCAGAATGAGCAGCGCCACCGAGATCATGCGGAGCATCCAAGGGCTGGATCCCAACAAGGCCGCGCGAGTCTCATTGCCCTGATCCCGCATGAGCGCGCACTGCGCGTCGAACGCCATCTGGAAGCCCTTGAAGGTCAACCGGGCCTCCTCTGACCAAGGCACTACCGTGTGGCTCACCTTGAAGTGTTCGAGCACGCGGTTGGCCATGCTCTTCACGTCCAAGCCCTGCGTCACGGGGATGTCGCGGTTCGTCGCGCGCAGCTCCGGCTCGAACACGCCGCCGCGGTTCCTGAAGCGGAGCCTCGTGATCGTGCCGTCCACGAGACGCAAGGAGTATCCACGGGGGCCTGGCTCGAACGTGACGTGGTCTTCCTGGGCAGGCACGGAGCCCGAGGGGGGGGCCCGCCTGTCGCTTCACCAAAGACTTATGGTAGTCGAAGGGGCTACATGCTCCAGGGTGGTCATGGACAAACTCAGGGTCGCCTGGGCTAGTTAACTCAAGGTCCCCGGGGCAAGTCCAGGGCAGGCCTTGGGCATGGGTCTTGGGTAACGCTGGAAGGTTGGCCCAAGTGCTCTCTGGGTGAGCTTGGGCAGGGGCTTTGCGTAAGTAGGGTTAGGGCTTGGGGCTTTGCGTAAGTAGGGTTAGGGCTTTGGGGCGAGCCTCGGGTGGGGCCAGGCAGGCCCGGGTAGAAGTAGAGCAGGCCACTGGGTGAGGTGTGCTACATCTCAGGCCCCCCGCTTTCTGTAACTAAGCCGGTGCATCCTCTGCGTCAGACTCCTCCTGGGTCGCCTGGGTCTCGCGCGCGGGGGCCGGGCGGAACGCGCCCCGAGCAAGCACGTGGTTGGTCGCCTCGCTCGGCAGGCCCAGCGGAGATACCATGCATTCCAATAGCTTCGGCCACTGCCAACGTTTGAACCCCTGCGGGACCTCGAGCTGCACGGGGGGCGGCGAGTGAGGCTCCACAGGGCGACCCGACGCGAACAGCAAGCGGCACGACGTGGCCACTGCGTCAGCGCCGAGGGAGCCTCGCAGCATCGGCACAACGACGGAAGGGCGCCCATTGCCACTGATGCCAATCGAGACCGTTGGGGCGCTTCCTTGACCGAACGCACCCGCTGTCTTTGTAGTCATTGCCGTGTGGCCTGTTTGCATCAACTTATTGAACTCCGATGCCGCGTCGGCCGGCATGCCCCGGCGTCGCCGCCTGCTCCGGCGCACGCGAATGCGCAGGGGGCCGGCCTCGCCCTGCCAGGTCAGTCTGGTGGGCCCATCTCCCCCGACACCCCGCGACAACGGAGGGGGCGGTCGTCGCCCGGGCCCCTTCATCAGTCTCCAAGCAGGGGGCAAGGCCGGCAGCCCCACCATTCGCACGCTGCCCGCCCTTTGTGTTCTGCGCGGGGATGAGGCCGACCATCTTGAGGAAGCGGTACGCCTCGTCTAGGTTGATCAATGTCCCGTAGTACACGCGCCCCGACAAGTCGTGCGACTCGCTCGGGGCCACTTGGTCCCAGTCCCCGGCGCATCGCAAGAAGAACGCCGCCTCCGTGAAACTCGTGAGCATGGACGATTCCACTTTCACCGAAGGGGCAAACCCCGCCCTCCCGTACGCCCCGACGTTGTCGCCTCGCAGGCGCCATTCCGAGATCCCAGACCCCCTCGAGTCATGAAAAAATCATGACGGGAGGTTTTTCCAAATTTTCGGCCTCCGGGGGCCCTCGCCGGGCCTCGGGAGCGTCAAAAAACGGCTCAGGATGCGAAGCCGGTCATGGGGAAAGGGTCGGGGCCTCCGGGGGTCGACGTAATGAAAAAAATCATTACGTCGGGGGTCTGGGATCCCCGCGCGATCGGACTGAACGATCGCATTTCCCGCGCCGAGCCGGTCGATCCCCCCTGGCGGTTGGCCCGACCGGGTCGCTCCCGCGATCCGATCCGCCGCTGACTCGCTCAGGTGCTCGATCGGCCGGCGAATCTGAGCTCCGCGCCAGGGCCTGCCCCCGTGGCCAAGGCGCTCGCAGTCGCCAGCACGTGGTCGTCAATTGCGCGCCCCACGACGAGGCCCCCGCCCTGTGCGTGGAGCTCTTCCGAGTCTGCGGGTAATTGATGTTGACGACCGGCAAGACTACCGGGCTTGGGTCACCAGGGAATATGTTGGTCAGTGCACCGTTGGTGCAAGCACACAGGTGGGCGAGGATTCCCATTCCGAACGGGAACTCGTGATGTGACGCCCGGGTGGCTAGAGTGAGAATCGCTTGCGATGCCTTGTGGCCCAAGGCGACCCTGGGGTCGTACTCCTTGTCGACGATGTCCCACACGGCGCGCGTCTCATCTCGGAACTGCTGCATCGCCCCCCCGCCGCGCGTCGGGGCCAAGTCGGGTTCCCACTCGAGCCAACTGTCTGCGAGGACCAGGTGGTGGGCCCCTAGGAGTGCGCTCGCGCGGGTTCTGCTCGGGCAATTGTCATTCCCCTCGGCTGCCCCGACCGCGCCTGGTCATTTTCCTTCCCGCCCACACCGTTCTCCATTCTCTCTGTGCAACGTATGCATGCACCTGGCCCAACCGTGCAACGCTCCGGACATGGCGGGCGCGGTGCCTAAGCAGCGGGCAATCGGCGCGCGGGCCCGGGCGGCCTCGCTCACTCGCTCCGCGGCTGCCCCGCACTCGCGGCCGCGCGGGCCGCGCGCGCCTGCTCGGCCAGCCAGGCCTCATTTTTCACTTCGGCCAGTTCCGTTAGCAAGAAGGCCGGGGTAAACTGCCCCATGCGGCGCACAGAATATTTGTGGCGCCCCAGAGACGAGAACAGCTGCTCGCAGATCTGGCTATTGATGTTCTTCACGAGCTCCTTGTTGCAGTCTGCCTTAGGTGAACAATTTGCTAGGCACCAGGGGTCCGCGTGGTTTCTGTCGCGCAGTCCGTCGGTGATGTACTTGATGTTGGGGTGCGCGAGCCTGCGCGCGAAGGCGCCGTCGCCCTCGCGCTTCGAAGCGTACCGCCGCAAATGGCAAGCATCGTCGTGGCGGACAACGTCGACTGCTGGGGCCTTCTCCACGACCTCCGCCAAGAAGAAGTAGCGCTGCGGCAGACTCTCTGCGCCCACGTACTCCTTCAGATGCACGATGTAGCCTTCTGGAGTGCAGGCGTAAAGCCAGCCGCATTTTCTGCTGAACTGGCTCGGGGTCGAACCGCGGCTGGCCCTGCCCAGTTGCGCCTCATTGTGGGTCCTGCACGACACGGACTGCAAATCCGCGTCGGGTGATATCGCCGGGATGTACGCCTGGTGTCCAGCATTGCCCCAGTACTCTTGCAGTTGGCCCTGGGTGACCTGGCGCGCGGCGGCCCAGCGCCTCGGCGCTCCTGGGATATCTTTCTGGTCCCGCGCCACGAGGCACACGTCGCACGGTTCAGCCCTGGGGGCCGTTTCCAGCACGCGCCGGCGCTTGTGCGAAACAAAGATTTCACTTTGCGGCGGGCCGTCATCCTCAGTCAGGGCGCGAGCCAAGTGCTTGCTGCAACGCTTCAGCTTGAATCCCGGTTTGCAAGAGCACTGCGTGGCAGTGTACCTCTCCAAGGAGGGGGAGTACATCAGTTCGGCAACAGCTCGCCCGCAGATCCGGCGGGCCAGTTTCGCATTCCCATCTATGACGATCGTGTTGATGGAGCGCCCGCTGTCCGTGAGCCCCTGCACTCGTCGGCTGAACATGTGCTCTGGGTACCATGACCAAATGGTTTTTATCAAGTCCGGCGACGTCTTCAACAAATTCAGCTCCCCCGGGCCGTTCCCGTGCTCGAACATACGGGCCATAACGCGCCGCGCGATCCAGGCCCTCTGCAACTTCAAATCTGCTCTGAACGGGACCACCTCTGCGAGCCCTGCTCGACGAGCTGCCTCCCCGTAAACCTTGGCCTCGCTGTCAAAAGACGCGCGCTGGAAGGCTAAGCGTTGCGTGAATTGCCGCAGCCACCGGGCAGACACGCCCCAGGTGTTGGCAAGGAAAAAATATTCCAGCCGATCGTGTCCACTCCAATGCCACGCATGGTTGTTCGTAGACTCTGAAATGTAATTATACCACACGCGCTTTCGCGCGCACCCGCGCCTCTCGCATCTCAACGGCACGTGGCGCCGCGATTCCCATCCACCTACACTAAGCACGCTTGCTGTCACAGCCTCCCGCTCCTGCGGGCGCATGGGCCCTTTACAGTGTGGGCAGCTCCGGTTCGGATGGGACAGGGCACCACAGCTCCCGCCAGCAATGCGCTGTACTTGTTGGAGCAACCCCGCGGCAGCGATGTCCGGCACCCCCAAATCTTTGAGAGCGCTGTGCAAACGTTCTGCCGCCATGCGCACTGGTTCGTCCGGGCTCGGGAAACCGAGCGCTAGCTAGCGTTCTTGAGGTGGTCCCCGACGGGTCACTGTTACGGCGACACCATTGGGGGCGCGCTGTCGGAGCCAAAACGGCGACGGGCCCACGAAGTGCATCGCATCAGTGCGCCAGAGGGGGGCTGTAATCAAGATGCCTAGGCGACTGGGGCATCCCCCCAACTGTTGGCAGAGATTGCAGAAGACATTGGATGCCGGTTGCGTTTGACAAGGCTCGCGCAAAAACAAAAAACGATCAACGGCGCGAAGTGGATGCTAGTTACGGGGTCGAGAAGTCTGGAGTTCGTTGTTGCTGGAAGGGCGACGGACGGGCTGGCCAAGGGCAGGACTCCTGACCAACAGCGTGGCTTTCCGATTGGCCGTGGGTGGCTTTGGGGATCAGCTCTTCCAATCCTTCGTCCGTCCAAGTGGGAGACTGATTTACCGTTAATTTCTCCCCTGGCACCCTCCTCAAGAACCTGCCGGTGGTTCCTGAAAAGGCTGGGGTGTCCAAAATCTCCGAAAACGGCCCCGATGTGGTTCCGCCTACCCTCGTTGGACTCCGCATTGCCCTACGGAGCCTTCAATGTGGACCCACTTTCAGCACGTTCATCCAAGATGGCTACCAACGTGCTCGTCATAAGCTCCAAGACCATATTCATCGTCGCCTGGTGGCCCCGAGGTGGTCTGGGGCCTCCTGCTGGGGTCTCCACAATTTTCTGGACGTCGTCGTGGTCATCACCATCGCTCGTCGTTGGAGCCCGCGAGGGACCACAGGGAAGTTCCACGAAAGGACCACGCAAGGACCAAGAAAGGACAACGGAAAGATCACGGAGGGAACACGGAGGGACCACGCAAAGGACCACAGGGAGGGACCAAGAAGGACCACGAAGGGACCACCGAGGGACCAAGGAGGGACCTTCGAGAGACCACGGAGGGAGGGGCCATGACAGGGCCAAGAAGGGGCCGAGAGGGGAGCAAAACAGAACCACGGAGGGACCAAGAACGGACCACGGAGAGACCCACTGAAGAGACCAAGGGGCCAAGGAAGAAGCGCTCCAACGGCACAAGCTGCCCCAAGACTCCTGAACGACCCCCCGGCCAGCTCCTGAACGACATGCGCGGATGTCCCAAGCGAAACGGGCAAGCGCATCTCAAACCAAGGTATTTCGGAGCCTTCACCTCCGAGGATGTTTCAAGCGAAACCGGCCCGAACACTTCGAGAACCGCATCTTTGAACGCAGAGAAAACGGGCCAGCTCACTTCAATGCAAGGCTTCCCTGGCCTCAATTCCGAGGATGTCCAACGTTTCGCCGCCGTCGCCGGGCTCGCTTCAATCGTGTTCACTTCTATGGTGATCGCATTCGTTTTGAACCCCGGAAGGGGCCGCACATGCGCGCACATGCGGCGCAGTCGCATGCACATGCCAATGCAACACTGCAAGAGCCTCAACAACATGACCGCACATGCGCGCACATGCCACACAGTCCGACGCACAGTCGGATGCACAGCCTGGACAAACTCCGAAACTATAAACACACATGCCCGCACATGCCGCAGAGGCGAAGATTCGGAGAGGAAGGGAGGGACACACGGGGAGGAGGCCAGATAAGAGGTCAGAGTTGCGAGGATGTCCCAGAAAAAAATGGCCTGACCACCCGGGCTCAGGGCATATCGGAACCCAGAGTTGCGAGGATGTCTCACGCGGAAGTGGCTGGACCACCATGAGGCCGCGCATCTCCGAGGTCGGGTTGCGAGGATCTCTCAGGCGAAAGTGGCCTGACCACCCGAACTCAACGCATCTCGGGGCCCAGAATTGCGAGGATGTCTCAGGCGAAAATATGTCCCCCAACAACGCAGCGCGGAGAAGGGAGGATACCACCCGAGCTCCACACATCCCAAAGCCCCAGTTGCGAGGATGTGTCATGCGATAGTGGCTGGACCACCATGGGGCAGCGCATCTCCGACGTCATAGTTGCGAGGATGTCTCAGGCGAAAGTGGCCTGACCATCTGAGCCCAGGGAATCTCGGAGCCCAGAGTTGCAAGGATGTCTCAACCCAAAGTGGCCTGACCACCTGAGCCCAGGGAATCTCGGAACCCAGATTTGCGCAGATGTCTGTCAGAATTGGCGTCGGTGCTGGCGTAGGCGCGCGCATCGGTGCTGGTGTGGGCGCTGGCGGCAGCGTTGGCGCTAGCGTGTGTGCTGGCGTCGGAGCTGGCGACGGTGCTGGCGTGGGCGTCGGCGTCGGGGCCATCGCAACCGCAAGCGTATGTTTCAGGGGAAAGTGGCTTCCATATCGAAGCCAGGAATTCCGAGGATGTCTCACGCGCGGAGGGCCATGCCACTTCGAGAACCGCACTTGGGAGACGACATGCGCGAATGTCCCAAGCGAAACGGGCCAGCGCATCTCAAACCAAGGTATTTCGGAGCCTTCACCTCCGAGGATGTTTCAAGCGAAACCGGCCCGAACACTTCGAGAGCCGCATCTTTGAACGCGGAGAAAACGGGCCAGCTCACTTCAATTCAAGGCTTCCCTGGCCTCCATTCCGAGGGTGTCCATGTTTGTCTTGTTGTTTTTTCTTTTTGTTGTTGTTTTTTGTGTGTTGGTCCAAACGCGAAACGCTCCTCCTCCTCCTCCTCCACTCCTACTCCTCCTCCCTACCTCCTCCTCCTCCTCCCCTCTTCGTCCGCCATTTCTCCCTCGCAAGGGGCGATCAGGCAGTCGGGGGGCCCTGGGATACGGGGCCCGGCCTGCCAAACCGGGGCGCGTTTTCCCCCTTCCCTCCGCCTTGTCCTCTTCTCCTCCCTTCCTCCCCCTCTTGCTCCTCCTCCTCCTTCCTCCTCCTCCTCCTCCCTCCCCCTTCCTCCTCCCTCCTCCTCTCCCCTCACCTCTCCTCCTCTTTCTCCTCCTCCTCTCCCCCCCCTCCTCCTCCTTCTCCTCCTCCCCCTCCTCTCCCTTCCTCTCTTCCCCGGGCCGACCCGACTCGGCTCGCTGGGCGTCCGAGACTCGGACGGGGAATGCGAAGGACAAGAGCAGGGCGACGACGGAAGAGGACACCGCCCTTCGCTCACCAAGAACAAATTCTTCAAACACTACCGAAACATGCGGGAGGCCCTCGGACATCCTCGCAGGGCCCTGGGAGCTTCTGGGCGGCCCCTGAAGCCCCGGGGGTGCCGAAACCAGCAAAAACGTTTGATCCTGGACACGATGAACGACGGCGGCGACGACGGCGACGGCGGCGGCGACCAAGGCGACGACGACGACGACCACGGGAACCGTAAAGTCGATTTCCCTGAGGGGCCAAAAAAAGAAGAGAGAGGAAGGAAGGGCGGACGGACGGAAGGAAGGAAGGAGGGGATCTCTCTCTCTCTCTCTCTCTCTCTCTCTCTCTCGCAGGCGCAGGGCGCGCATCCGAGCGCTGGCGGTTTCGCCGGCCGCAGCTGGCCGCCGCGCTCGCCCGCGGCGGCAATCGCAAAAACGAGGGGCGGGCGACGAGACGGCAGGGAGACAGGGGACAGGGAGAGAGACGGCGGGAAGGAAGGAAGGAGGGGATCTGCAGGCGCACGGGGCGCAAATCCGAGCACCGGCGGTTTTGCCGGCCCCGGCCGGCCGCTGCGCCCGCCCGCGGCGGCAGCGGAGAACGAGGAATGACGACGCGGCAGGGAAAGAGGAGAGAGGGAGAAAGAGAGAGACGGAGGGAGAGAGGGAGGGGCGGGGATCTCCCCGCCGAGGCCGCGCGGCTGGACAGCGGCGCTGGTCCATATGCCGTCGGGGCCACCCCTGGGCGACTCACTTCTTCTGCCTATTGTTCCTCCACCACTGGTTCCACTCCTCCCGCTCCTTCCGCTTCTTCTCCAAGAATTCTTTCCTCGCCTCGGCGGCCTCGCGCGCCTCCCGCTCGTGTTCCTCGATGGTGGCGTGGAGGGCCGCCACGCTAGAATCCCGCCGACCGACGGCGGCGCCCCACCTCACCTGGAGATCCTGGAGCTCCTGGAGCTTGGCTTTTGCCTCCTCAAGGAGAGTAGTTTTCATCTCTAACTCTTTCTGCATCACCGCTTCGGACGCAGCGGCGTCTTTGTCCTCGGCCCTCCACTGGGCTTCCTTCTTCTCCAGCTCTTTCTGGAGCTCAAAATAGTTTTGGCGCCACCAAGCCGCCTCCTTCGCGAGGGGCCGCAGCCGATGCGAGAGAAAGACAAGGCAGGCCGACGGGCGCGCACCGACGCCCCACCCACAAGAATCGCACGAATGCCTCCCGCTGGACGCCGGTCGCAGCACAAGCCAAAGGAGACGCGCGAATGCGTCCCAATGGACACATGCCGGAACGCAACCCACAGGAAGCGCACGCATGCGCCCCAGTGTGCACGCGCCGAAGAATGACCCAGAGGAACCCATCGGCGCGCCATGCCTTTCATTATCGGCTGCGCCCCTCGCTGTCCTCCTGTCCGTTGGCAAATGTCACCACTGCCGCCTCCTGGGGCGCAATGTCTTCGGAGGTCATGGCATCCCAGTCGCTCTTCTGGAGCCTGGTGCCCTTGGTTATGCCATACTTTATCAAAAACGCCTCGATCCCGAGCGCGTCGTTGGCCGAGTAGAGGTCGTTGAATTGGCCCCGCAGGATCTTCGCCGCGTCGTTTTTTTTGGCGCCTTCGCGAGAACGCTCGACGGCCCACTTGTGCTGCTGCTTGACCGTCTCAGCCATGGCGGCGCGCGGCGGCTGAGGCGAGCGAGGGGCGGCTGAGGCGAGTGGCAGCCTGAGTCGAGCAGCGCTGACAACCAGAACGGCTGACGCGAGTGCCAGGGGACAGAGGAAGAGG